AGGGCCGGCGGCCCTTAGAGTGGCCTGCTGGGTGCGCGGTGGGCCACGGACCGCGGCGGCGGGACCAGGTCCCGAGCGCCGGCAAAACAGCCGGCCTGAGGCGCACAGCGTGTTTCCAGGTGGCGACTGCGGTGCGGAGGAGGAGGGAGCCCCAGAAAAAGCGAGCGGACGCGGGGAACGCCCTCCCATTGGCTGAGGGGCAGGCAAATTCCCCCGAGCCGCGCGGCCGGATCCGCTGCTAGGTAACGGCGCCGCAGGGGCGGGGCCGACCACCCAGGCAGGGCCACCCTAGCGCCGCTAGCCGCCAGCCCGCCCGCGCGGCCCTAGCGGAGCAGTCCCGGAGCCCCTTCGGTGCTGGCCAAGTGTAAGTGAGCACAGACGGATACTGAGAAGGGCGTCCACTGGCCCCTTAGGCCATACTTTCCTCCCACCCAGCCTAAACCCAAAACCTTTTTCACTCTTCCCTCCCTCGATTTTGCCCTCTTTAGTCTTCTCATTCCACGGAGGCCAGTCATCTTTTTTTTCATTGTAAGAAGGCGAGTGCGCTCCTTAGAGGCAGAGAACTCCCGACAGGGAGTGGTCACACCGCAATCCCCTATTTCTCCATCCTGCTGGGATTTTTCAGCATGCACAAGCAACTGACAGTTTTTCAAGCCGCTGAGGCTGGATTGGAACCAAGACAGGTCATGTGGGATCCGGCTCCCTAACCACTAGACAACTGTGCACTCCAGAGCCATCTCTCTAAAATACAAACCTGATCATAGTTCAAACACCCGTTCCACTTGGAGCACGGGACTAAGTTACGGCCTTCTCACCCTTCCTTCCCTCACACCCACCAGTGTTCCTTCCAGCCGGTGCGCACAGGTACAATCCCCTAAACACACCCCACTGTCCTGTGTGTTCCGGTCTTTGTAGGTGTTGTGGTCTTCATCTTGACAATCTTGGAAACTGAACTTGGATCAATCACCCTCTCTTTGTTTGTTTTAAAATAATTATTTATTTAATTTTGGGATCAGTAGATGGGATAATGGTTATGTCGCTGGACTCCCATGAAGTGGACTGCACTTAGAGTTTTGGACCAGGTGGCTTAAAATTTGGAGCTGGGCATGTGTGCATGTGTGCCCCCAATCCTGAGAGGAGACTGGAGAAGGGATTGCCACATGGCCATCCCCCAGGAGGGTGATTTCTTGCTTTCTGTCTCTCTTGAGAGTGCACGCAGCCTATAGCAAAAATCTCTCTCCAAAAAAAATAAAAAAGAATTATTTAATTTATTATTTTTTAATTTGACCAGAGAGACAGAGAAAGGAAAAGTGAGAAAGCAAGCTACCAAGGTCCAGGATTTGAACTGCAGCCATGTGGGAGTCCAGCACCAGCACCTCAACCACCACACCACTGCTGGCCCTAATCATCCCCTCCTTGAAGCCCTCCTCGATTCACACCTTCCTCTTGGCAAATAATCACTTTTTTTAAAAGTTTTGCTATAAGGTGCATGTGCTTGTGAGAGAGATAGATAAAGTACCCTTCAGGGAGGATGGCAACACTGCAATCCCTTCTCCTCCATTCTCTTCTTGGGATTTTTGGGCATGCACACACACGCCAGGCATGTTTCAAGCCACTGGGTCTGGGACTCTTTACTGCAGTTAGCCATGTTAGGATCCAGCCACCTACCCCGCTAGCTCCAATAATTACATTTTTCTTTGTGCTCCTTATCATACTCTATTTATATAGGTATTTCTGCATTTCTGATACAATTTATATACTTGAACATCTGCCTTCCTCACTTGACAATAAGGTACTCAATAATTGCTGAGTGAGTCATTAAGAGTTGTAGAAGCAAGGGTGTAAAGGATGGGTAACATGGAAGAAAAGAGGAAATAGTTCCTCTATGGACTTTCGACTATCCATCTGAGGATGCTGTTTCTGCTGGGTTCCTCAACGAGTGGTGAAATAGGCAAAACCAGTATTCCAATATAGTAAGGCTGGGAAAGAGAAAACGCAATCTCTAATAAACCCACTATTCTTTTTTAAAAAATTATTTTATTTAACCTTATTTATTCATTCATTCATTTATTTCAATTTGACCAGAGAGGGATAGAGAGAGAGAGAGAGAGAGAGAGAGAGCAAGCTGCCAGGTCCAGGACTTGAACTGTAGTCAGCCACATGGGAGTCCAGCACCCTTAACCACCAAGCCACCTGCCAGCCCCAATAAACCCACTATTCTAAGAGCTATTATAATCTCTGACCAATTTCTTGGTCAATTCTTCCAGACCTTTTTGTTTATCATTACATCATAAATATTTCATGCTACTACATAGTGTTTGTATCAGTCATTTGGAGAATATGCTTAGGACAGATTCCCAGAAGTGAGGTTGTTTGGGTCAAAAAGTATGAACGTTTTTATGGCTCTTGCTCCATATTGCCAAACTCTTTTTGGAAATGTATGTGATTAACATCATTGCCACAGCCTCAGTCCTGCAAAAAGGGAAACTTTAGTTCGAGGAGGTGAACACCTAATAGGTTTGCCACTTCCATTGGTCCATAAATCCAGTGAGATGCCTGTAGATAACTAGTATGTGTAGGACACTGTTAGCCAAGTAGCACCTGCACATATAAAGCTGCTTACGTGCACAGTGCTTTCTCCCCGTCATAGAGGAGGCATTTTATCTTCACCATGGATAAAGTGTACCCCCAGAAAATCTCTGGAAACAGAAATGACCTCTACAGTGTGCTGTGTGAGCTCCTCACTTGCTCTTGGGGCTATAGCTAATGACAGAGAAAGGCCTATCAACACCAGTGTCAGCAAGGCTAGAAGTAGAGCTGCTTTGCTTTAAGTAACTCTTTAGATTTTCCTTATTAGACTAAGACGTATAGTCCATGGAGAAATAGAGCTGGCCCTTGTACCAGAGGCCCATTACTGCTAACAATAGCAGCAGAATCCAGCATTTCCACGGATATTTCCAAGGCAGGGCCTACCCACTGAGAAAAACCTCTTCGTTGTAGTCCAAAGACAAGGGTGAGAAATGGGTTTGCAGTTCTAGACTTTCCAGCCTAGGGCCTAATGCCAGCTGGCTGCTCCAAACCTCCAAATGACCTTTCTTTTTCCCAACAAAATGATTTCCCGAGTGCAGCTGAGCTCAGCCAGTGCTAAAGCCACAGACCCCAAGTAATAAGAGGGGACAAAGAGGTTCCTCTTCTCTGCAAGCAGCCAGCTTCATCACTGGCCCCACTCATGGAGGTTTCTAGAAGTGAGAGGAAGTGGATGAGAGGTGGGAAGATGACAGAATCTAAGACATAGTTCAAGGTCTAGATCTTTCAATGACTGACTGTGAGATCTAGGGCGAGGCGTGTCTCTGACACTGACTTACGGATTCATGTGATGATCCATATAGCTGAGGAACAGGGCAGCAGCACACTCACACAACAGTACTGGGGAAAGTGACCAGAGTGAGTGACTTCAGAGAAGTGTCCATGTGGGAGTTAGCGGAAGGGCTTGGGCAGGCTTTTTCCCTGGCTTTTCACTCACCACGCTTATCGCTAACTTCCATGATCTGGGTCAGACAGAATCAATGGCCCTGAGATGTGAAGGAGAGAAGCAGGGGCCCTGGACAGCTCCTAATCCAGCTCCTCATATTTAGGGGCCAAACCTGGGAATGCAGGCAGTTTTAGGCCAATAGCACCTACCCAGTCCTTTGGTGCTAGAGGCTTCAATCAGAGAACAGAGGACAGCCCTTCACTTTGAGTATGGGGGAAGGAGAGAGGCTAAAAACAGAAGTAGCATCTGTCCATTTATGCGTACACTCCTCCTGGGTGGTGGCTGACAGCTTAGGCCGAGGACAGGGCATCCTGGCCTCCACAGAATGAGTTCTCCTGCCTGGCCTCTTTCCTTCCCAGTCAGCTTCATCAAAGCTGAGCTTCCCGAACCTTCTGTCTGGGTGGTCCTTCCCACACCCTCTCCCCCTTTCTCAGACACACTTAACTATTTAGAAAGCAGCATACAAAGGCCTGGCTTATATACCTCCTTTGAGGTAGGGGTGGCTGTGGATAAAGAAAGTGTTGCTCTGGCAACCCTCCGGGACACAGCTGCTACACTAGGCTGTGCAGGCCGCTACACTGATCTCAGGGCTATGGCTAAACATATTTTTTCTCCCTCTCCATTGAGGATGGGAGTGGGATGTGAACAGTAATGTAGTGAAGGACAGAGGAGTTTGGCCTTGGGCTTTGGGAGAAAGCTCAGAGGGCAATCTTGGCAGTAAGTCCCCTCACAGGCTTAGGAAACTTGCCAGCAGGCAGGGGTGAGGTGTTACCAGGGAGTGGGTTTGTGCAGTGTTAGCCATCAAATTTTGTCTGACCTAGCAAGTTCCCAGAACCTTTCTCAGCACTCTCCTGAGTCTTCTTTATTTGGTATGGAGGCCCCTTTTCTTCTCTTTTCATCCACTGCTCATGACCCAACACTGGGAGGGGCAGGGTCGGCCCTATCAGTTCTCTGCCTTCTGTCTCATGAAGTGGCGGCCAGTGGACATTTAGTTGCTCACTCTATTTCAGACACACTCAGCCTCTTTGTAGCTGCTACCAAAAGGAAACAAAAACTGTTCCTGCCTTCTGGCACACAAATAAAACAAAGAGAAGAAAAATCAAAGCATCTTGGGCACCCAGCCAGTCCTGGAGTTGTTAGAGACAACAGCAGCAGTATCTTGAGGTGGGGACTGCTCCTAGCTGGGACTTAGATTGGGCAAGGCCCTCCTTTGGGGAACCCCTATCTTTTTCATTCTCTCCTGCTCCAGCCTTGCCTTGCTGTAGGCCTGCTTGATGGGCTTATGTAAGGGGAAGGCAGAAGAGAGGTTTTTCCTCTGTTTCACTGTTGAGGGTTCTAAGAGCTCAGTGGGGAAGGGCAAGGGGTACACCAGGGGCTGGGACATTTTAACCAATGCCCTCTCCTCCACCCAATTTTCCCTCCATACCTACTGGCTCCATCCCCTTTCTGTGGTCAAGGAGCAGTATTCTGGCCTCTAGACCACCCAGGTCCTAAGGGCTAGAAAGCTCTGAGAAAGACGACTTTCTCAGAAGGGGCTTTAAAAGTCACCCAGTTGGGGCCAGCAGGTTAAGGTGCTGGATTCCTACATGGTCAACTGTGGTTGGAGTCCCAGATCTGGTGGCTTGAACTCACACCACTTTGTATAAGTGTGTGCCCAAAATCCTGAAAGGAGAATGAAGGAGAAGGGATTCTGGCATGGTCATTCTCTGGGGGTGATTTCTGGCTTTCTGTCTCTCTGTCTTTCTGGTGAGTGCACATACTCAGTAGCAAAAAAAATCTCTTTAAATATGCAAAGTCACCAGGGTCAGCAGGTGGTGTGGTAGTTAAGGTGCTGGACATTCCCATATGACTGACCATGGTTCAGGTCCTGGACTGAGTGGCTTGCTTTCTCACTTTCCTTCTCTCTGTGTGTCTGTCTTTCTCTAGTCAAATTAAAATAAATGAATAAAGTTAAATAAATAATTTTTTGAGAGTTTTTTTTTCCTATAGGGTACATACGGTCACCAGAAAGACAGAGAGACAGAGAGACAGAAAGTGGGAAATCACCCCCCAGGAGGGATGGCCACGCTGCAATCCCTTCTCCATTCTCTTATCGGGCCCTTGGGCACGCACATACACGCACTTGGTATGGGTTTATGCCACTGGGTCTAAGACTTGAACTGCGGTTGACTACATGGGAGTCCAGTGACATAGCCATTATGCTAACTGCTGGTCCCAATAAATAATTCTTAAAAAAAAAGAAAAGGTCACCTAGTCTAACTTTCTCATTTGGCAGATGTGGAAACTTAGGGTCAGAGGAGAGGTGGTAATGATTTGGCCAAAACCAGAAAATATTACAGAGGCCATGTCTCTTCCACGCAGGTCAGGACTCTGTCACCAGCACAGTCCAGGCCTCACAAATTTCATTTTAGTTCCAAAAGGGGACCATATCTTGGGCTCTTTATTGCCACTTCCCCTTTGGACATATTGGTTTCAACCAGTTTAACTGGACCATTTCAGCTCCGGCCTGACTGGAACAAATGTTCAGAGAACCTTGTCCTGACCAGTGGGAAGAATGTGGAGCACCAGGGCTCCTAAGAAGGCTGGTGGAGGCAGAGATTCCTCCAGGCTAGGAAGACTCAACTAGTCTCTCTCAAGTTCAATGAGTATACAATGCTAAGATCAGGTGAGATTACTCAAGTGAACTTGAGGGCCCTGAGATTTTTGAAGCAATGCAAAAACCAGCATTCCAAATTATTCTTTATAATTACTGCCACCCACAGTGAGGACATCAAGAGAAACCTTTACTTTGATAATTCTAGGAGGTGAAATCTCACCCCAGGAGCCACTTTTATCTTCCACTGAACACCTGCAGGTTGTAAAAACGGCAGAGGGAGAGACAAGAGCAGGCTGTCCCTGTGTACGGGAGCAGGGGTGGTGGAGGGAAGGCCGAGAGGACTCTAGAAGGTCTGTGAATAAGGAAATCTCATTCTTCAATTATTTGAAGTAAAAGAGTCTGTATAATTAGGAAATAAAGGCGTATAGATGGAGAAGGGTCAGAAAGAAGTTTAAACCCTGATAGTTTCCTGGTTCTTCCTTACCAGGTGGGACAGACCTGACTGAGGGGAGGCGGGGGAGTGTGGCTTGGTTCAGACCATGGTCTTAGGTTATGGCTCTTCAGACTCTTGCTTTCACCGAAATTTGTGGGGATAAGCTTGTTGGCTTGGCAGGGTCCGCCTCCTGCTTGCTTTAAGTCTCCAGGGGAGGGCAGGCAGGTGGCATGGTGGTTAAGGTACTGGACTCCCACATGGTCAACTGTGATTTGAGTCCCAGACCTGGTGGCTTGCTTTCTTATTTTCCCTTTTTCTCTCTCTGGTCAAACTGAAAAATAAATAACAAATAAAATTAGATAAATAATTTTTTTTTAAAGAGTCTTGGGGCCAACAGGTGGTATGGTAGTTCAAATCATTCCCACGGTTCAAGTCTTGGACCTAGTGGCTTTTTTTCTTCCTTTCTCTCTCTCTCTTTCATCAAATTAAAATAAATGAGTGAGGGGACCAGCAGGTGGCATGGTGGTTAAGGTGCTGGACACTTCCACATGGCTGACCATGGTTTAATATCTGGACCCGGTGGCTTGCTTTCTCATTTTCCCTCTCTCTCTCTCTCTCTGTGTCTTTCTCTGGTCAAATTAAAATAAAGGAATGAATAAATAATATTAAATAATTCTTTAAAAAAAAAAAAGAAAAATAATCACACCAGGTGCATGTGCGTGTGTGCCCAAAATTCCAGTAGAAGATTGAAGGCATTTGCACTGGAGAAAGTGGCTGGAGGTGGGGAGAACAGAGAGTAAATAGTGGGGGTGGAGGGTCGTGTCGAAGGTGAGGTGGTAGCAGGAGCTGGGAATCTGTGGCAGGTATGGGAACAGAGAAGGCTAAGTCCTGGGGATGCTCAGGGATGGCACCTCCAGCAGCGGGGCCTATGGGTCTTGAAAGTCTGACTAGGGCCAGGGACTGAAGTACTTTTGGGTGGGATAAACTTTATAAACTGGCTGGTCCGTCCTTGCTCTAGACGGTCTTGACCCCACAAACACATGTTGTGTATACCTGGAGCCCACAGGATGCAGAGCTTGGGACTGCTACACAAGTCTCCAATATGTCTTTAGAAGCCCTTCTTTATTGGGAAATAAATACAGAGTCAAACAGGTGGGCCAGCCAACATCTGTAGCTTCGGGGGGCAAAAGGAAGAAGTCTGACTTGCTCAGAACTCAGATTTCCATGAGCTGGTCACTCCCCACGATCACCTCGTTCACTCGCTTAGCTGCAAAAGAAAAAGAAAAGGTTTTCTGAGAATTGGCAGCAAAAGATGCCATTTAAAACCCAACTGCTTCTAATTTTGTGTTCACAAACATTTATTCCTCTCCTATTATGGCTTTGCTCTTGGGAAAATAACACGCCAAAGAGGTTATGAGAGAGATAGTATCTTCCAGCACAGGAGGATGGGACTGTCTCCATAATGCTGGTTTCAGGGAGGCTTTACATAGAAGAATTCGAGTCTTAGAGGATGAAGAGGGTTTTTCCAGGCAGTGATTAAAGGGAAGGCATTCCCAGCTGTTAGAACAGAATGAGCAAAGACATAGAGACATGAGAAAAAGAAACATGAAATACCATGGTGTGGTCAGAGGACAGGGACTGAGGGAGAGTGAGAAGAAATGAGACTGAAAGGATAAATGTAGATATTGAAAGAAGAGTGATATTTACAATGAAAATACCAACAGTTATTGTGCAGGGCTGTTGTGAGAATTCAAAAAGTTAAAGGATGAGTGGGACCAGCAGTTAGCATAATGGCTATGTCATTGGACTCCCATGTAGTTGACCGCGGTTCAAGTCCCGGACCCGGTTGCTTAAACTCACGCTGGGTGCGTATGCATGCGTGCCCAAGATCCCGAGAGAATGGAGGAGAAGGGATTGCGGCATGGCCATCCCCTCTGGGGGGTGATTTCTCGCTTTCTGTTTCTGTCTCTCTCTGTCTTTCTGGCGAGCGCATGTGCCCTATAGCAAAAACCTCTCCAAAAAAAAAAAAAAAAGAAAGAAAGGTAAAGGATATGTGAGTGCTCAATAAATAGCGGTTAAATCCAAACCCATAAGGCCCTACATGACCTGATCCTTGCTCAATTCCAGAGTTATCTCTTGCCATTCTCCATTTATACCAACAAGCTGAAACTTCGGCACCTGTTATCAATAGTGTTTTTCTCTTCATTGCTCTGCAGTGTACTCTTACTTTCTCACCTTAAATGCCCTAATCTAGCACCTCTACAGGGTGATGAATTACCTTCTGAACTGTCCACTTCCTGCTTTGTGAAACCACTGTATCTAATACATATATATTTCTTTTTTTTTAAGAGACTTTTGCTACAAGGTGTGTACACTTGTTGGAGAGACAGAAAGAAACAGACAAAAAAGTGAGAAATCATCCCCCTCGGGGGGCGGGGGGATGGCCAAGCCTCAATCCCTTCTCTTCCATTCTCTTGGGATTTTGGGCATGCACACACACATGTGCGCCTGGCATGAATTTTAAGCCACCAGGTCTGGGACTAGAACCGTGGTTGACTATGGTGAGAATCCAGTGATGTAACCATTACACCACCTGCTGGTCCCTCTAATATACATATATTTCTATCTCTACATCATTATGATATCTCCCCTATGTCACTATAAGAACCTTGAGGTGGGGCCTGTAGGTGGGATGGTGGTTAAGGGCACTGGACTCCCATATGACCGACTGCAATTTGAATCCTGGACCCAGTGGCTCGCTCTCTCTCTCTCTCACGCTGTCCTCTCTGGTCAAATTAAAATAAATGAAATAATTCTGAAAAAAAAAAAAAAGAAAATTGAGGACAGGGAAGAGACTGTTGTTATGGTTATACTTGTAGTGTCTAACATAGTCACTAGCACATGAATGTTCTGAGCAAGACTGTAAGCTGGGGTGACAGCTCTCAATACAGTTAGGTGAGTGCCCCCGAAGCTGGCCAATGCTGGGGTGAAAGGTGAGAAGATCTATGGAGAGCTGTCAAGAAAAAAGAGCTATAAAAAAGAGGCTGTGAACCAATGGCCTGGAGAGGGCAGGGGGAGCCAGAAGCATGCTCTCCATGTTGTCTGCTTCTTGCCTGGAGCTATGAGGCAGATGCAGGGGACAAGAGAGTTTTCCAGCCTTCTGCTGGTTCAGACAGAAAAGGCTGACTAGCTGGCTGAACATTGAGTTTTTCTGGGCAAACTTCCCAAGGCCTATAAAGGTCCAACCTTTTTCTTGTTTACATTTGGAGGCTTGACTGTGACCCTGATAGATGAGCCTGAAAATCTGGCTATCCTGAGACTCTACTTCAGGTTGGGAAGGCTTTGGTAAAACAAAATGAAGATTCTTGATGATGGGACCAAGTTTGATAGGGAGGATGTTTGTCTCTTCCTGCTACAGCTGGGAGCCTCTAGAAAAGAGGTTTCTGAGTGAAGAAATGTTGAGATTTTAGATATGTCTCTCGTTTTGTCTACCTTTCTAGCTTTGTTTCTTGCTGCACCCTTTGTTTCTCCTTTGTACCCTATACTTGCGATTTTCCTAAGGATTTGCACTTTCTAACATGACCCGAGAGAGAGAGAGAGAGAGAGAGAGAGAGAGAGAGAGAGAGAGAGAGAGAGAGAGAGAGAGAGAGAGAGAGAGAGAGAGAGAGAGAGAGAGGAGAATGAGAAAGCAAGCTTCCAGGTCCAAGACTCGAACTGTGGTTGGCCATGTAGGAATCCATTATCGTAACCATTCTGCCAGGCCCAGAATCTTCCAGATTTTGACTATTGGCTGTGGCTTCTCCATTGCTTGAACAGGAGGTCAAACCTGGGCTGGCAGGATTTTTGCAGGTGACAGTCACTGAGTACTTGGGTAGGGTGAGAAAAGTCAGAGTTGCTATAAAATGGTTTGTTCTCTTGGTAGTGCTTGAAGTGGGCAGAGAGGCCTACAATGGGTTATAGGAATCTTATTTTTGCACAGGGGTAAAGGACAATGATGGATGCAGTGACTCTATGGTAAGAAAATTATTGGAATTTGAAGAGGGGACAGTATTATTTCTTTTTTTTTTTTAAAAGAGAGATTTTTACTATAAGATGTATGTGCTTGCTGGAGAGCAAGAGAGAGAAATCCCCCTCAGGGAGGGATGACAATACCACAATCCCTTCTCTATTCTCCTCTTGGGATTTTTTTCTTTTTTCAAAGAATTATTTTATTCAACTTTATTTATTTATTTATTCATTCATTTTAAATTTGACTAAAGAGGGACAGAGTTAGAGAAAGAGAAAGAGAGAGAGAAAGAGAGAGAGAGAGAGAAAGGGAGAAAGCAAGTTGCTAGGTCCAGGACTCGAACCGCAGTCAAGTAACTCCCAATGTGGGAGTCCAGCGCCCTTAACTACCACACCACCTGCTGTCCCCTCTCCTCTTACGATTTTGAGCACACATGCACATGCACCTGGCATGAATTTCAAGTAACCAGGTCTGGGATTCGAACCGCAGTTGCTCATGTAGAGTCCAGGGATGCAACCATTATGCCATCTGTCGGTCCCATCTAGCATTACCTCTTCTTCTTTTCTTTTACAAAAATAATAATTTTTATTTTATTTGTTAGTATTATTTTTTAATTTGACCAGAGAGAGAGAGACAGATAGAAAGGGAAACTGAGAAAGCAAGTCGCTAGGCTGGGGACTCGCCCTGTGGTCAGCCATGTGGGAGTCCAGCACCCCAACCATCATGCCACCTGCCGGCCCCCACCAGTATTACTTCTTAGGATGAATGTTTTTTATTTAAATCCCTCCATGTGAGAAAGACTATAACTGGGGGCTTTGCCATCTACTGAACTCTGCTAGTGAGGACCAGAGGAGTTGATGTTCGTCTAGGTCATCCATGGTAGCAGATCTTTTTTATTTTCCCTTTTAATTTATTTATTTGCATTCATTCACTGTACATCAACACAATATACAAAATGAGACTTTCCATCCAGAATACATTGTATATTGGCTCAATCAAGGATATTACCATACATGTTATCATCAACAAATAATTTTCTTTCTTTTTTTTCTTTCCTTTTTTTTTTTGTGAGAGGTTTTTGCTATAGGCCGCATGTGCTCGCCAGAAAGACAGAGAGAGACAGGGAGACAGAAAGTAAGAAATCACCCCCTGGGGGGATGGTCATGCCGCAATCTCTTCTCCTCCATCCTCCTCTTAGGATCTTGGGCACGCATGCACACGTGCCCGGTGTGAGTTTAAGGCTTCGAGTCTGGGACTCAAACCATGGTCAACTATGTGGGAGTCTAGAAATGTAGTCATTATGCTATCAGTTGGTCCCACAACAAGTAATTTTCTATTTCTTGTTTCTTATACATTTTGCACCCTCCCCTCTTGATTCCCTATTTCTCACCCTCTGCCAATTCCCTCCCCCTCAAGTCTCTGGTCAGATCTCTTTTTTTCTGGTCAGATCTTGAGGGCTGTAGTGATGGCTTGGAATTAGCTTTCTCCCTGACTCAGCCTCAAAAAAAGGTGACAGTGGGTGGGGCCAGCAGGTGGCATGGTGGTTAAGGCAGCAATACCCAATTGCGCAGTTTGAGTTCTGGATCTGGTGGATTGAAAAACACACTGGGCGTGTATGTATGTGTTCAAAATCCTAAGAGGAGAATGGAGAAGAAGGGACTGTAGAGTGGCCAAACCTCCTGGATGTGCTTTTCTCATTTTTCCTCTGTCTCTCTCTTTCTTAAAAAAATTATTTACTGGGGCCAGCAGTTAGCGTAATGGCTATGTCGCTGGACTCCCATGTAGTCGACTGCGGTTTGAGTCCCAGACCCGGTGGCTTAAACTCACGCCAGGCACGTGTGCGTGCATGCCCAAGATCCCAAGAGGAGAATAGAGGAGAAGGGATTGTGGCGTGGCCATCCCCCCTGGGGGGTGATTTCTCGCTTTTTGTCTCTCTGTCTCTGTCTGTCTGTTTGGTGAGTGCACGTGCCCTGTAGCAAAAACCTCTCCAAAAAAAATTATTTACTTATTTACTTATTTAATTTTATTTGTTATTGTTATTTATTTTTTTAATTTGACCAGAAAGAGACAGAGAGAGAGAGAAAGGGAAAGAAGGAAAGCAAGCCGCTAGGTCTGAAATTAAACTATGGTCAGCCATGTGAGAGTCCAGCACCTTAAGCACCACACCACCCACTGGCCTCTTCCTCTGTCTCTCATGGGTGAACGCACATGCCCTATAGCAACTACTAAAAACAGAACAAAACAAAACCACACAAGCAAACAAAAACCCCAGGTCATTAAAGGTATTAATGATTTCAGGAGGTCAGAGCTACTTCCAGAGCCTTTGCTGCATTGCTGATCCTTCAATCTTAGAGCTAAGAGCCATTGTAAAGTATTGGTGTCAATCTGGGCCATTAGACCTACTGGTAAGTTTCCAATATTTTGATAAGGCTGTATACACATATGAGCTTATTTTTATGATGAATTCCTAGAAATAAAATTGTTGTCAAATTTTTAAAATTTGACAATAATGTCAATTGCTCCCCAAAGATGGTTTTATCAATTTTTGTTCTTATCCACAGTGTATGCATGTGCATATTTCTCACACCCTCACCAGCATTGGGCATAATCTGCGCTAGTGTGCTAGGTAAAATATGGCATCTGTGATTGTAACTTGAACTCTGGTTTACCTTTGGCTTCAATTGTCTGGCCACTTCCAATCAAGCAGTTCTTGACGTCTGCTCCCTTTTCGATCACGACGTTGTTGCAGATGACGCTGCCCTGGATGTTGCTCCTGTAACAAAGAAGTCAGTAGTCGAGTTACAGAGTGCTCTTTTCACCATCCTCACCACTATTGGCTGGGGGTTCTAGATTCTGCTTAGACCAGGAACATCTGGTAAGTCCAGTTAATGACTGTATGCCTCATGTTATCACTAGAAGACAGAATGATGGGCCAAGGGAGGACCTGACTTTAGAGAAGTCCAGAGCTAGAACATGCTTATCATAATCTTTCTCCAAGTCTGAAATTAATAAATATTTCAATTTTAGGGACCAGCAGATGGTGTAGTTGTTATGTTGTTGGATTCCCACATAGTTGACTGCAGTTTGAGTCCCGAACTCGGTGGCTTAAAAATTCATGCCAGGTGTGGGACCAGCAGTTGGCGTAAATGCTATGTCGCTGGACTTCCATGTAGTCAACCGTGATTCGAGTCTTGGACCCAGTGGTTTAAACTCATGCCAGGCATGTGTGTGTGCATATCCAAGATCCCGAGAGGGGAATGGAGGAGAAGGGATTGTGGCATGGCCATCCCCTCCTGGGGGGAGATGTCTCCCTTTCTGTCTCTCTCTTTCTGGCGAGCACACGTACCCTATAGTAAAAACCTCTCAAAAAAACCCCAAAACTCATGCCAGGTGCATATCCAAAATCCCAATAGGAGGATGGAGGGGAAGGGATTGAGGCATGGCCATCCCCCTTGGGGGGTGATTTCTCACTTTCTGTCTCTCCAGCGAGTGCACATGCTCTATAGCAAAATTCTTTCTTAAAAAACATTCGGGACCAGCAGATGGTGTAATGGTTACATTGTTGGACTCCCACGTAGTCAACTGCAGTTTGAGTCCCAGACCTGGTGGATTAAAACTCATGCCAGGTGTGTATGTGTGTGTGCCCAAAATCCTGAGAGGAGAATGGAAGAGAAAGGATTGAGGGATGATCATCCTCCCTGGAGGGTTTCTGTCTCTAGTGAGCACATATGCCCTATAGCAAAAATCTCTCTCTCTCAAAAAGTTCAATTTCAGTTTTTTAGAGATACCTTAGGCCTTGAAGTCAAAATTTCATACAACCTCTTTATTTGGTCTGTGAGTAGAAGCAGGAGCTGGTCCCTGGGCTGACCTAGCACTTTTGCTTCTCAGCTGGGAATATCTACTTTGAGGCTCAGAAATCAAGACTCTTCCTAAGAAATCAACTGTGGATGGGAACCAGCAGTTAGCGTAATGGCTATGTCGCTGGACTCCCACGTAGTCGACTGCGGTTCGCGTCCCGGACCCGGTGGCTTAAAACACACTGGGCGCGTGTGCGTGCATGCCCAAGATCCCGAGAGGAGAATGGAGGAGAAGGGATTGCGGCGTGACCATCCCCCCTGGGGGGTGATTTCTTGCTTTCTGTCTCTCTGTCTCTCTCTGTCTGTCTGGCGAGTGCACACGCCCTATAGCAAAAACCTCTCCCCCCCAAAAAAAAAAAAAAGAAATCAACTGTGGAAATGATGGCTTCCTCAAAGCTCTCAACACAGACTATGGTTAGTCAAACCAGTAGTCATTCAGGGAAAAAGAAAAAAGATATTTTAAAGCCACATTCAGGGGCTGGCAGATGGCACAGAAGTGAAGGTAGCTGAATTTCACATAGCCAGCTGCACGGTTCAAGTTCTGGACCTGGTGGCTTCAAAACACACAGGGTGTGTGTGTGTGTGTGCGCCTAAAATCCTGGGAGAATAGAGAAGGTATTGTGGGTGGTGATCCCCCTTTGGGAGTGATTTCTCACTTTCCCTCTATCTCTGTCTCTCTGCAGTGAGAGCATACACCTATAGCAAAGCTTAAAAAAAAGATTCTTCTCAAATGCCAAAATTTTAATAAAATGCAAAAAATGAATTCTACCATTTTATAGCATCCCAGAATTTTCTTTATCGCTACTGTAGAAGGTTAAAGCCTGTCAGAAAGCAGTAAAAGGTCAAAACCATAGCTCTTCTGTGGAGTGGGCAATAGATGGGTGGAGACATCACTAGTTTGCTTTTTGGTACAGATTCAGGATATACTCTGTGGATGAGATTTAAGAGACCTTCTAGAACTTTCCAACCTGCCCAACTTGTAAAGCAATCCAGTAAGCACTTAGGGGACTACTCTTTAGGGAAAAATTCACCAGGATGGGCACTAAGGAATTGTAGAAAGCCTTGGATAGAAAGTCTACTGGGATGGAGTTGGCTTGCAATTGACCACCAGTTCATCACTGAAAAGTCCCATTTCTTTTTTCAAGGTGGTAGTAGGGTTACGCTTCCTGCTCAGCAGCTTAAGTCCTAGAATGCATCCTCTGGAGATAGGCAAGAAGCAAGCACAGTCAGCAGACAAGAAACTACCAACAGGAACTCAAGTGGCCACAATTAGAGACTACTACATGGCTATTTTGGAATATGGGAAATAAGTGGGCACCATTTCTGGAAGGAAGAGGCTAGAATGACTGAGGTCAGATTTCCACAGAAACAGACAGCCTGGCTTTCCTTATGTTTAGCAGGTCTGACTTGGGTCTTTGGAACCTCCCTTATAGTTTGTGTGTAACGCACATAAATAACCACTGTAGAGTCTATAGATGTAAGAGGAAAAAGTGGATTGACTGGTGGGAAGCGGGGGCTCTCTGGAGGCTTCTGGTCAGTAAGGCTTTGAGATGAACACCTGACAACAGCTTGCTGTGTGTGAAGCCTTTTCTGACTATTTCTCTCCTCCATTATTCCTCCGTATCATTGCTCTGGTCACAAATCACCTCCATGAGCAAAGATGACATACTGTGAAAAAATTTCAGTCCAACACTACTTTTCATGTATCTAAAGAGAAACTCCAAGATAAAACAATTTTTCTGGAAATGTGTGTGTCTGGTTAGAGAGAATGGACACATAGGAGCATATCAAATAAGCCCTCTCCAGGTTGTCAATCCACAGCAACATTTTCTATGTCTAAGAGGGGGAGGCGAGTCTCTACAGTCAAAGAAAAGAACTGCCCCCCTGTGCCAGGATTATGTTTTCTGTATCTTAGTTTTAACTCTTAAGTTTAGCACTAAGGATTCTGCTATGCTAATGCATAGCTGTTTTTCTCTAAGAAGCAGCTCAGTGATGGTTAAAATTAATGGAGAGTTGGTCTTTTCTCCTTGATGGAGACAAATTTTAAGCAAAAAGAAATTACCCTGAAAACCATAATGCTTCAGTGGCAAGGAAGTCATGAGAGAAAAACACAGAGGTCACATTAAGGTGACTGTGTAGCCAGGCATACTACACTATACCATGTTGTGGCAAACACCATGAGGAAGCCCTGGGGTGGGCAAGAGCACCTCGAAATTCTTATGCTTCTTCTGGATTTAGTTCAAATGTTCCTTAGTTCATTCCAGGGAGGAAAGGGAATCCACGTATGAATAACGTCTAATACATCTCAGTCACCGTACAGAGCACTTTACATTCATTTGGGACCCAGTGGGCAGAGTGATCAATCATGGAGCTGAAGGGTAACTTGGAGTCACAACTAGAAGCAGTGATACTCTGTTTAGGACTGCAGGCTGCACTTTCTAACTGTAGAGTATGGAAAACCCAGGTGAAAATAGGGCCTCTAGCCTACCTGCACGTGAGGTGCTATCTTGGACTGCTGCTTGGGTCATTTGCCTTGGCCTGGGAAAATGCATGTTACTCAGAACTAGGAGACTAATATTCAAGCCCTGACAATGACTTTTTCACTAGACTTTGGATTTGTGAATATCAACTGTCATATAAAGTGGCAGAAAATGAGAAAAATGAGCAGAAGCTTTCTCTGCATAGTCTCGCCTACACTTTCCCCAAGGTGGTCTAATTAATATCCCTCAAGCCCTGAGTACCTTGGGCAGGTGTCCAAGTCACAATCCAAAAAACTTTAGCATCCCACCACTGCTGGCAGAGGCAACTGCACCATAAATATGAGAAACTCCCTTCTGGACATATTTATGCTCCTACTCTGCCACTCAGTCCAGACGTAATAGCAGCAGAATAATCAGGCCTCACATGACTGCAATTTAATTACCTTCCCCAAATTTATCATAAGTAATTAAAACTAAATAACCTCAAATAATGGGAAAAAGCTCATATGGGATTCAGGATGTCTGATCTTATCAACAGAAGCCAATCTGCAGGATTGGGTAATCTCTGATGGCCTTTCTAGTTATTAACCTTGTGTGGGTTATCTAGTTTTATTTCAACCTTTTTAGTTGGAAAAGTAGCAGCAGCAGTCAATTCAATCTTTTACTATTTCTTCAGCTAGAAACCTGACTATGTCATCTAAGATTCTGTATCCTATAAAACAGCAAGTAACACTGGGATATGCTAGGCCTTTTTTCTGAACTTCTCTCACAGGAGCAAGCTGCTGTTTCTTAGGCAGTCATGCTTTCCTCACTGAATTTCGTGTCAATTAGGATAACACTGGACTTTCACATGGCGCTAGGGAGCTGCTCCTTTGTCTGCCCACCCACAGGAGGGAAGAAAATGGATGCTAATTAGAACAAGTGGGGAAAGTTATGGCATTTACTTCCCTGGAAGGTTTGAGGTAAGATGAGAAAGAACAAAAGTTGCTACGAAGCCTCAGAGTGACTCTGGAACCAGATGACATTATAGGTAAAGGTAAATGTAGTACTGGTTTTCAAGAGAATGGTGAAGACGTGTTGGTCTTACGTAGTCTGGAATGGGACAAAGAGTAGCAGGGTATATTGAAGAAAAATGTCTGAAATGATAACAATTTATTCATCTGTGAAAATGTAGGAGTTGAGGGACCAGCAAATGGCGTAATAGTTATGTTGCTGGATTCCCATGTACTTGACCGTGGCTCATGTCAGATCTGGCAGCTTAAAACTCACACAGTGTGTGTGTGCATGCATGCCCAAAATGCTAAGAGAATAGAGACGGGATTGCGGTGTAGTCATCCCCTCCTACCCAGGATGGTGTGATTTCTCGCTGTCTCCCTGTCTCTGTCTCTCTCTGTCTTTCCTGAGAGTGCAAGTGCCCTCTAGCAAAAATCTCTCTCTAAAAAAAAAACAGTAGGAGGTGAGCTGGATGACTTCCAAAGCCTCATCTCAGTTTAAGATTCTGGAACTTAGTGTTGGAGTCAGATCATGAGAAGCTTTGATTTTCCAACTTTATTCTAAAGGTAATGAGGGGCCTCCAAAAGTTTAATAGAATAGGGATATGATCAGATAAGAAATCACTCCCTGGGAGGATGGCAACACCACAATCCCTTCTCCTCCATTTCTCCCTCCTTTTGGGATTCTGGCCACATATGCGCATATGCCCTTGTGTTTCTGAAGCCACTGAGCCTGGGACTCAAACCACTCAGTCACTCATGTGGAATCCAACTCCCTTAACCACCATGTCACAGTCTGGCCTCAGGGATATTCTTCAGAAAGAGAACACTGGGGGGCCAGCAGGTGGTGTGGTGGTTAAGGTGGCTAAATCCCATGTGGCTGACTTCATGGTTTGAGTTCCAGACACGTGGCTTGAGAAACACGCCAAGCATGTGTGTCTGTGTGTGTGTGCCCAAAACCCCGAAAGGAGGGAGAAATGGAGAAGGGATTGTGGCGTGGCCATTCCCTCTGGGGGGTACTTTCTTACTTTCTTTCTCTCTCTGTCTCTGGCAAATGCATGTTCTCTATAGCAAATAATAATAATAAACTGTCTTATTTTTGTTAGTGTTCTGTGTTATTATTAACCACAGACCTTTAGCCAGTTGTTTAATACTCCTTTCAAGATGTCAACAGGTTATTTTTTTCTTTTGTCATAGGGCACGTGAGCTCACTGGAGAGAGAGAGAGAGAGAAGGAGAAAGTGAAGAAGCACCCTTCCCCCAGGGGGGACAGTCATACCACAGTCTCTTCTCCTCTATTTTCCCAGGATTCTGGCCACACACACATATACCTGTGCATGACATGTTTTTCAAGCTGCTAGGTCGAGGACTCAAACCATGTGGTTGGTCATGTGGGAGCCAGTAGCCTTAAACAACACAATACCAGTTGGGCCAGTTCTGGAATATTATCAGTTTCATCTTCAGGGCTAAGTCTCTTCTAAATTCTTTGGTTGTATTCTACTCTGGGCTAACTGCTGTCTTTAAGCCTCATTCATAGTTGTCGTCCTTCTCTCCCTTCACTGTCACTTTTTTTTTTTTTTTTTTGCCTTTTTTCTGAGTTGGATCCCTTATTTCTTCCTTTGTAGTCTTTTTAAATTTCTTTCTTTCTTCCGTAAGTGAAGAGAGAGATGAAGAGGAGTGGGCACCCCCAACAGGAGTCTATATGCTGTGGTCCATGCCTGGCTTTAGTCAGCCTGATTATAGGCAAGAGTGTGTACTTAATGTATAGAGGGAGCCCCTGGGATGTGAACTCAGGACCATCCCGAGTGGGTTCAGCATTGCAGAGCTTTATATTACCACTGTGCCACTGTCTGACCCCTAGATCTCCTATTTCCTTCTTTTCTTGGTTTATTCTTCATTTTTATGGAATGAATCTTTTTTAAAAATAATTATTCTATTTATTCATTCATATTTCTTTTTAAAATTTGATCACACACACACACAGAAGGAAAGTGAGAAAGCAAGCCTCCAGGTTCAGGACTTGAACCACGGTCAGCCATGTGGGAGTGTCCAGCACCTTAACCACCATGCCACCTGCTGGTCCTCTGGAATGAATCTTCTAGTAAAGTTTTTGAAACTTTTTATATCTGAACCTATTCTATTGCCACACTTGATTAACTGTGGCCTGGCTATAGAATTCTAGTTTGAAATTAATTTTCCTTCAGAATTTTGAAGGCATTACTATTTTTCAAAATTTTATTTATTCATTCATTTATTTTAATTTGATCAGAGAGACAGAGAGAGAAAGAGAAAGTGAAAAAGCAAGCCACAAGGTCTGGGACTCAAACCCTCACTGGCCATGTGAGAGTGTCCAGTACCTTAACCACCACATGACCTGCTGGTCCCCTGAAGGCATTACTTCATTGTCTTCTAGTTTCTATTGTTGCAACTGACAAGTCTAAAGCCATTCTGGTTCCTCATTGGTTGGAGATAACCTATTATTTTCTCTTTTGAAATTTATAGCATGTTTTTTCTCCAGTGTTCTGAAAATTCAACATGACATGAATTTATTTATTGGGTTGTTGGAAAAGTCATGAGACATTTTTACACAGAAAAAATGTATGATGGCTTTTCTAACAACTCAATATTTATTCCTGATATAGGCCACATGTGTTTGCTGGAAACAGAGAGAGAGAGAGAGAGAGAGAAAGTAAGACATCACCCCCCCAAAAGAGGATGGCCATGATATTCTGTCTCTATACACTTGGGATTTTAGGCAAGCACACATGTGTCTGGTGTGTTTTTCAAGCTGCTGGGTCCACGACTTGTACCACTCAGTTGGCCATGTGGGATCCTGCTGGCTTAACTTCCATGCCATCTGCTGGCCCGTCAAGAATTTATTATTATTGGGAACCAGCAGTTAGCGTAATGGCTATGTCGCTGGACTCCCACGTAGTCGACTGTGGTTTGCGTTCCGGACCCAGTGGCTTAAAACTCACGCCGGGCGCGTGTACGTGCGTGCCCAAGATCCCGAGAGGAGAATGGAGGAGAAGGGATTGCGGCGTGACCATCCCCCCTGGGAGGTGATTTCTCGCTTTCTGTCTCTATGTCTCTCTCTGTCTGGCGAGCGCACGCGCCCTATAGCAAAAACCTCTAAAAAAAAAAAAAAGAGAAGAATTTATTATTATTATTTTCCTTTTTTTGGGGGGAGATTTTTGCTATAGGGTGTATGCATTCACCAGAAAGACAGTGAGAGACAGAAAGCGAGAAATTACCCCCTAGGGGGATGGTCACGCCACAATCCCTTCTCCTCCATTCTCCTCTTGGGATCTTGGGCATGCACGCACACGCGCCCAATGTGAGTTTAAGTCACCAAGTCTGGGACTAGAACCACGGTCGACTATGTGGGAGTCCAGCGACATAGCCATTATGCTAACTGCTGGTCTCTTCCCAACTCTCTTTTTATGACACTCCTATTCTGATGTTGAACATCCTAGGTGGTTGGACCAAAAAGAGAAAGACAAGCACCCCCAGTGGGGTAAGGTCATATTGCAAGCCATTTCTTCCATTTCTCTATCCCATCAGGCTTTAGGACATGTAAGTATACATGCCTGGTATGCTTTGCAAGCCACACGGTTGGGATTAGAATCGTAGACAGTCATGTGGGATCAAGCTTCCTACACACAGCACTTAACCACTGTGCTATGGGACTGGCTCTCTTTCTTTGCTGTGTTCCATCGCTCTTTTTTTTTTTTTTAAGAATTATTTATTTTGTTATTATTATTATTAATTTTAAAAATTTGACCAGAGAGAAACAGAGAGAGAAAGGGAAAATGAGAAAGCAAGCTGGGACTCAAACCACCGTCAGCCACGTGGGAGTCCAGCACCTTAACCACTGCGCCACCTCCTGGCCCATGTATGTGTTCCATCTCTTTCATCTTTTATGCTCTACTTTCTGGCAAATTTCAAATCATCTTTCATTATTATATTGAGTCATTCCTTTTCATTACTTAAAAAATTTTTCCTATAGTTCTTTTTTGTTTCTTGAAATGACAGGTTTTAAAAAGTATTTTTGGGACCATCAGTTAGTGTAATAGCTATGTCACTGGACTCCCATGTAGTCGACTGTGGTTTGAGTCCCGGACCTGGTGGCTTAAACTCATGCTGGGTGCATGTGTGTGCGTGCCCAGGATCCCAAGAGGAGAATGGAGGAGAAGGGATTGCGGCGTGACCATCCCCCCAGGGGGTAATTTCTCGCTTTCTGTCTCTCTGTCTCTCTCTGTCTTTTTGGCAAGCACATGCGCCCTATAGCAAAAACCTCTCCCAAAAAAAAAAAAAAAGAAAGAAAAGAAGGTATTTTCCCCTCCCTGCAGAGTCAATTTGTCCTAAGCTGCCTTTTCTATTTGTTGGATTTTTTAAAAAGTTTATTTATTTATTTACTTATTTAAGAGAGTTTTTTCCCCTTCTCCATTCTTCTCTCAGGACTTTGGGCATGCATGCCCACATGCCCAGCATGAGTTTTAAGTTGCTGGGTCCAGGAATCGAACTGTAGTTGACTATGTGAGAATCCAGTGATGTAACCATTACCTCCCCTCTCTCTCTCTCTTTTTTTTTTTGGCGAGTTTTTTCTTTTTTTTTTTTGCTATAGGGCACGTGCACTAGCCAGAAAGATAGAGACAGAGAGATAGAAAGCGAGAAACCACCCCCCCCAGGGGGGGGGATGGCCACGCCGCCACAATCCCTTCTCCTCCATTCTCTTCTCGGGATCTTGGGCACACACGCACACGTACCCAGCGTGAGTTTAAGCCACCGGGTCTGGAACTCGAACCACGGTCGGCCACATGGGAGTTCAGTGACATAGCCATTATGCTAACTGCTGGTCCCAACTTCCCCTCTCTTAAGATGAGCCCTTTTCTGGGCTGAAGTGGCTCTCAAAGCCTCTTAGAAGTATGAAGGGGTTTAAGGAGAAACATACCCTTCTTCCACAGTGACTGAATTCATAAGAAGGCAATTGGCAATAGTCACTCTATCTTTGATGAGACAGGATGAACCGATGACTGAATGCATAATGGACGACTTCTCTCCAATCCGTGTATCTGGCCCGATGAGGCTGTCTGCTCCAACCTGCAAAAGGCAAATATAAAACCAGGTCCACCTATGTCAACAAACTGCAAACCACTCCCCCCAGATCCCTTGAGCTGGAGTCTAATGGGATCCTTCATAGAGATACTTCAGCAAGAGGGACCATCATCTGTATTTCTCAGGACTACAAGGTCACACAATACCTCTGAGACCAACTCGAACCTATACTGAAGTATGGGCCCTCCCCTGCCAAAAAACAAAAACGAGAAAAGCCACGTATGTACTCGTATGCACAGATGTGCACAGATGTGTTCTCTTGAAGAGTGCGCTCTGGGTAAGAAAAAGGACAGAGATTGAAATGGAAAGCTCCTGTATCTGAGTTCCAGCACCACAATAAATACTTCTTAAAGGGTCAGCAGCTGCTCAGGCAGTTTCCTTGAGTGAGATTTTATTGCCAGAACCCAGTGGGATTTTCCCTGGGGCTAATGAGGTTCAGGACTTGAGGACATCAATCCATCTTCTCAAGAAAAAGCCTTGATGCCCTGAGCGAATGTCCTTAGTATTCGAATACTTACCATGCCTAAACTAGCACTTACTGAGTGTTTGTTGACAATCTGGGCGGATGAATGGACCAGTGATTCTTCTGGACAGAGAAGAGACAGCAATTTGGGCACCTGGATGAAAGAGATTTGGTCACTAAAGATCAGTAAAACACCTGAAAACAAGTAGAACCCAATCAGAGATATGAAGAGTTCCCAGCCACAGCTTTCTGTCTGGGTGGCAGAGAGGAGGGGGCTGCTGCATTTCTCTAAGGAACAGTATTTATGCAGCGGCTTCTAAACAGTATCATCCTATTTCTTAGCTGACAGTGCTCTTCCCTGAAAGTAATGCCACCTACCATGGATGAGAGCTGTTGAGGCAAGCCTTTGAGATACACCCATAATACTTCTTGAGAAAGGAGGCTTGAGACCAGCAGTTAGTGTAATGGCTATGCCGCTGAACTCCCATGTAGCCGATGGCGGTTTGAGTCCAGGACCCGTTGGCTTAATCTCCCGCCAGGCGTGTAT